ACATATATGTATGTAGAGTGGAAACATAGGAAAGGCTGTATATTCGTGCCACGGGCTCACTAGGCACGGGTGTGTCACCGGGCAGCGAGAACGTGTTAAATAATTTACAATCGGACCAATTCGTTCGCGTGACTGGCGTTCAAACTTATCGGCGGATGACGCGTGCCGTTACGGCGTCGAAACGCGCGATTTATCTAGTCACCGAGTGGACGAGTATCGCGCGACTCGATCGCACCGCTCGAATCCAATGACGCTCGATCGCGCAGAAAACGCGTTCTGACCGAACACACTTCCGTCTCTGCCGGTAATATTAGAAATGAAAATTCACCAGTCTGGATATGTTATATTTTCACGTGCCGCGAACGCTCGAACGTGTACGTGCGTGTGCACCAGTTGGTCCAATCTTCAAACCCAGATTCCATTTCCAATTAAAGCGATTTGCATTGTACGAACGGTTAACTCTCGCATTCGGATGTCGGAGTTAATCAAACGATAGACGCAAAGCTACGTCGACGTTCGAGTGTCGGATTAAACGTCGACCGGTTTAAATTACAACGTTGCTCGCGCGCCGCGACGCGTTCTTTCTTATCGTCGCGGGTATTCGTAATTGAATTGTACACGGGGAGAGGTTCCCCGTTCTGCCGCGCGAGCGTTAAATTTCCCCCATTAGTTCGATTTCAATCCGTAGAGCTGGAAGCCGAGCCGTCATACCTTCTACAAACAAGAATTCATCCGAGAGATTGTATACTATCTGCCGATTCAGATCGATGCACTCTCTCTGCCTGAATCCCTCTTGTGGGAAGCGACGAAGCCCCATTGTGAACACGAACTTAACGATGTTGTCGCTGATAATTGCAACATTCGGAACAATTTATCGGCGAAATGACGCGAGCCGCACGCTCCACCGAGCCGCCATTGTCATCTTTGCAGGCGAACGCGATAAGATATTGGAGAGCCAGAAGAATTCTGTCCGTTGCACGTTTTACTTTCGATCGAGCAGGCAAAGTTTGCCTCTGTACAAGAAGAGGATTTAACCAGGTCTCTCCCTGCACCGAAAAAAAAAGCGCAATAAAGCGTAGAAGGACAATAACGAGATTGCCTAGGCCAGTTTCCCACGAGTCAGCGGCGTGCTAATGATTTCTCGCGGGCGTTTTCCACGAGAGCGGAAAAGCGAGGCGTCGCTGGTCAAAGATTGATCGAGCAGCGGTAAGAAAAACGAGCGTGCGCCGCCACGGAAGATCGCGTGTCGTCGTCTTAATCAAGAAATTTCGGGGCCGGCCACGTGACCCGCGCGCCCCATCGCGCCAGCCCAACAGCCAGGACAGGGTGTATTTTGTCGTGGGCCATTTCTGGGGTAAATTACAGCCAGGCAGGAGTCGTTACGGCTGCTTGAATACCGGTGAAATGGATTGTGCCCGGGATAAAGAATGAAAAATTGCCGCCACCGTTATATCGCGTGTATTGTCCGATGGTTTTCTGGACAAAAAACACACGCGCGCGCGTACACATGCGCAGAGAGAGAGAGAATAAAATAAAACGGGAAACTGCGTTTTTCGTTAGCGCCGTGATTAAAATCTGCCTTCTGTTTGCGACAAAATCTAATTCGTTTGCTATTCCGTGGAATGGCGTGGATGAAAAATGATTGAAAAATCTTTGGAGATAAGTGCAAGTGATCGATGCGAAAACGAAGGAACGAGCTGGCGGTAAATATCGCGTTCCCGAGAGACACGTCGGTGCAATTTTTCTAATCATCGTCGTTATTATTCTTGCCGCTATTATCCTTATTATCATTGTCCAATTGGAGAACGCAGCCCATTTCCGGAGAGACATAGAGCCACCGGGGGATCGTTACTCGCGTGGAGAATGGGCGAAGGGAAGCCGAATACGCCGGTAAGAAGGAGGTCGCGGGAAAGTAACGACTCGTCCGTGAGAATAAACTCCGCGTAATTTTCCGCGTCTGAAATCCCCGACCCTATGGCCGCGGTCGTTTCGTTAACGAAAAATAACGCCACGGGATTTTCGCGAATCGGCACCTTATTCGTTGTCTGCCAGAACGATCTCTTTCCTGGTAAACCGTTCTCCGGCTTCAACCTAGCTTATTTCAATGTATCAGCTGTATTTTGTCTATGTAAAAGGCGAGATAATTCGAAACATTCCCGGGTATTTTCCATTTCACTTTTTCCCCGCGTTCAACTTGGTCCATTAACTCGGTCTATCGGCAAAGGGATGTTAAGAGATAAGGTTATATTTATCGATATTGAGTCGCGACGTGGATGATATAGGAAGCTCTGCCGCTTCTTCGCATCCCGATTTCCGGCCTGCCTATTTCCGCGCTCGCCGATAACGAAATCTTCAATCAGCCTCGGGAACGTTCCTCACCGCACCTTTTCAATTTATTCAACCGCCAGTTTATCGTCGCTACTTGCTCGAGTCCTTTTCGCACAACGACACACGGCCTACGTTGGAGTATCTACTTACAAACCATTACTGAAATCTTCGTTTCAACGACGTTCCACCAATCTCAGTTTGCGGAATGCCCGGAGAGCCACCGGAGGGGGTGGAACATCGTCCAAGAAATCGAGCTAGACTGGAAATCGCGTATTTCACAGGGGAACAAGCGAGCAATCTCCCAAGAGGAGCAAGAGAAGGGGAGAAAATCGGCAGAGAAGAGGCGATTTGTCAGATCGCCGCGGCTGAGTTTGGTGGGTGAAATCGATAGCAGGTGGTGAGTCCCTGGAGCGAATCCGCAACACCAGCGGCCGCGTTCGCCCTCGCGTCTCACCGACGCCGGCCGGCCACCCGCGGGCATTTATTTATTTCCATGCGGTTCGTATGCCGCGCGTTGCCTCTGCCGCTATTCGGCCTGGCTCGAACAGAGGAGGGTGGCGTAGGAAGGGAGAAGGGTGAGTCGCGCGATTCACGGCGGGCGGGACTCGAAATCCGTAATCACAGTTCGCACCAGCGGGCCAGCCGCGATCGAGAATCTCACCCCCGGGGCAGAGAAGGGGCGCGAGAGAGGGAAAAAACCGGCCGAGTGTTTCGCGGTGCCGCTCCCCCATTGCTCCCGCCAAATCGAATCTCCTCCTCGATTCCTTTCTCTTCCTCCTCCCTTCCGCTCTTCGCTTTTTCCCTGCCGCCGCCACCTCGCCCGGCAATGCTATTAACGATAAGACCTTGGGATTGCGCGTAAATATCGTCCGGTTCGTCGTTTTTCTTCGCGGTTTAATTCTTTCTCGAAGGAACCGGTGACAGCGTCGGAGAGGAGACGCATTGCACCCTCTCTCTGCGGTCGCTGAATTGTTAGGTATACCCCGTTGTTTATTCAGGGATCACGGCTAACTTCTTGAAAGGAGGAAATGCAGGATTCTGGTCGATTAATGAATGCCGCTTCCTACTCTCCTGGGGGGATTTCAATTGAATTTTCCGACGAGAATAGAACGGCCGTACTATTTTACGTACAAGACACCCTCGCGCGGCGTTCTGTCACCCTCCTCCGCGCTCTCTCTCTCTCTCTCTCTCTCTCGAGGATAGAGAGAAATTGTGTTTCCTCGGTGAAAAGAGACGGGATAACGAAGGTCTGGCGGGTGTGTGTACGCCCGCGGAACGACGCTGGAAAAACTTTTCAGAATGACAGGCGTCAATATCAGCGGTCCCCCCTTCGAGATAAGTAACGGTAGCGGGAAACTCTTAAAACGCTTCCTTCGCGCTTTATTATTCTACGACCGCCCCCCAGGCCAAAGTGGCTTCTCCCCCGGGGCAGAATAAATTTTTTTATTTCGCATTAAAAGCAAGGAGACATCTGTTCTATCGATGCCGAACGAAGCTCCGACACTTAGGCTGTAGAAAGGGATGAAAACCGAGCGGTAGGACGGGGAAGGACGACGCGTCGTCAAAGGCGAATCCAACTGGATTATTTTCTCTTCCAAGTGGCTCTGTCCGTCTTCTCTCCAGCGTCCCTGTCTCGATCCTAGGAGAAGGACGCGGGAACGATTGCCACAATTAGGTGAATCAACACGCCGACACGACGACCGGGAGCGACAATAACAGCCTTTATTTACGGAGCTTTTACTTAAAGACGCGGGCCTCGAAAACGTCGCCTCGTATTCGTCCTGGAAGCAGAGCGCGCGCGCTGATCCCTCTGGAATAATATTTTTCCTCCCGTCCCTCCCTCCTTCCCACTCTCGCTCTCTCTTTCTCTCGAGTCGAGCCTCGGAATGAAATCTAATTAACCCCTCATTAAGGATCGCGCAACGAATACCCTTATTTATTTACCACCGAGTCGTTCTCTCTTTTTCCGGGTAATTGTACAGCGGTGGTTGTACCAAGCGAAAACCGAACCGAGCTCGAATCGGGCAAGAAAGGTCGACTGATTTATTCATCAGCTGGCCAAGGCTCGTCCGTGTTACGCGACACGTCGTTCGGTCACGCGACGCGGTTCTACGATTTCTTTCTTGGACGGTTCAAGCGGAATTACAAATTGCTGCTCGATACAAAGTAGGAGAAATTGCGAAGCGTATTTTCCCATCCTGAAGGTATTCCAATCGCAACGTCCCCGATAGGCTGATCTATCCGGAAAGAGAGGTACGGTGTGTTCAACAAGCTCGTTGCGAGTTGTTTGGCCGCAAAAATGTATCTGCCTTACGGTGCGAGCGCAGAGTCAGGTGTTCCGGGAACGATGCACCGGGGACATCGCCGGGTTTCGATTATCGTCGATAACTCGGCTGGATGTATCCCTTCCGTGCGATGCCTGTAGTTTCCGGAAATTCGCTTCGCCCTCGGGATTATCCCGTCCGGGGAATTCCCATCTCGGTTATGCGCCCTTCAACCCTTACTTTCGCCCGCGTTCCCTTTGTCTCCCAGCCCCGCCACCATTTGTCCCGAATTACTTCCTCGAGAATATTA